CATTTTGGCAGCTGAATGATCACAGCTGATATTTCTGTTAAGGTGTGTGGTGCCATTTTGGCAGCTGAATGATCACAGCTGATATTTCTGTTAAGGTGTGTGGTGCCATTTTGGCAGCTGAATGATCACAGCCGATATTTCTGTTAAGGTGTGTGGTTAGAAATATCAGCTGTGATTATTCAGCTGCCAAAATGGCACCACACACCTTAACAGAAATATCAGCTGTGATCATTCAGCTGCCAAAATGGCCTATATAACTCAGCCAAAAATGATCAGATTTTGATGAAACTTGGTGGACTTATGTAGAATATTATTCCTAATTCTCCTGTCAAAAATGATTCGTGTCAATTGATAAAGACTGACGTACAGACTTTTTTTTAGTATTTAGTGGATCTGCCATTTGCAATATTTAAGGCATAAACATAATTACACATCATATTTGCAAGAAATGAAATTTTGACCTGCAGGATTGCAATTGCAATCCCACTTCTGGCAAAGAACTTGGATGATGGAGTCCTAGAAATTACTTGTTTGGGATGCTTTTGCACTGAATGATCAAGGATGGACTGCATGTGCTCTGTAGGATTCATATCCTGTGATGACCTGACCACAAGAGAGTGGTAATACATTAACCTTTAAGCCAGCCTTTTGTGACCTATGCTAAATAAGAAGGAAAAACCCATTGTGCAAGAAAACACTGCCTTGTCTAGTTAGCTGGTAACTGGCATAGACAGGTATAAGACATTACTTAAGAATTGTGATCTGTTGAGTAGGAATGACTATCCCTTTATATATCATCAGCTGTGATTATTCCACTGCCAAAATGGCACCACACACCTTAACAGAAATATCAGCTGTGATTATTCAGCTGCCAAAATGGGACCACACACCTTAACTATATATACATTATTTTTGTTTTTATTAAATGATGTTTGATGTCATAATTTGTCTTTCTTTTGTGCTAATTACCAGGAGAAAATTATATTTACTATTTTAGTTTGTTTACTTGTTTATTATGATACTTACAGTTTTAAAGATTGTTGCAGGCAGTGTAAAGAAGAATATTATTATTTTATTTTTTTCAAATGTGTGTTTGTCATCAAGATTGCTCAAAAACTGCTGAATGGAAAGTTGGTATATGTTTGGACTATGACCCAACTTAAAAGTGATTAGTTTTTGGAGGGTTACGGTCACGAAGATAAAAAAAACAAAAACAAATCACCTGTCTGTTAACACGACCAATTTTTCACACTACTTTTGTGTAATACAACATTGTAGTGTAAGAGCATCACTACTACCACCATCCTGTAAAAGTTTCAAGGACAGACAACACTATTCAATTAGTGTCCAGTATTTTTTCAGTTGTATGGACAGACACAAATCACCTTTCTTGTCAGGATTTTGCTTTTTATTACTCAGAATACACAGAATGAAGATACCATAAATCATGTAATTTATTATATTATTATTATTATTTCATCCAAAGGTATCAAAATTAATGAATGTTTAAATCTACTTTATATGTCTATGAACCTTAAGAGATGCATAATTCTTAGTTTATTTTGTATATTTCTTGATTCAGAAGGTTGTAGACCAAAATGTGTAAAGGCACACTTGTATGTAATCCATAAAACTATGGTAAATAGTTTGTTAATGTGACATATATGTGAAATACATAATTAGTAACTTCTGTTAAAAGGATGTCGCACGTGAGATATTCCAAGCATTTGCAAACCATTGTATTTACTGGTTCCCTGTTACTTACTCAATTTGTATTTCAAGTACTATTACAAAACTTGTCTATACAAATTGTTTGGTGATTGCTTGCTTTAACCTGTGTTTCTTGCAAATTTTTATTATTAGGTGGAGATGGTGCACAGTTTGGTATCGATGATGGGTGCTCATAACAAGGAGGATGTGAGTCGGAAGTTGTTACTCATGTCTAGTTCAAAAGAAAACTGTATTGTAATGAGACAAACAGGTACACCTGGACATTCTTGATTCATTCAATTTTATCTCTTTTTAAAACCAACCTTTTTTAGACAAGACGCTAACATTAAGTTAATTTCTTCAATGACTTTCTTCAAAAAGATTTCATTTCAAAATATTTAAGTTTAGCAGCATAACGCTTGTCCTTGTTATTTTTGTGAAGATATATTTTCTGTATATATAATTTATATCTATTAAATATCGTGTGATTTATAAATCTAAACCTCAGGTTTTATCCCTCATGCAGAACTAATATTTGATAATTCCTGCATATGTTAATGTCTCTTGTGTTTGAAACCCGGCATATTTTGTATGTTTCAGACAAACCCTCACTGCTGAGTTTATGTCTCTGAAAATGTTATGACGTGTTCAGGAACGTCGAGAGACAGCACGGGCCCCGGGGCAAACACCTTCCCTGGGCCCCCTTTCTCTCTCTCTCTCTTTTTTAACATTTTCAATAATTTATTAAAAAGAAGATCCTAAATTAGGATAGCAACGAGCTCATAAACCAGACAAAATCATAGCAGCAGCCATTTTTACCTCACAGTATAAGCGTAAAAAGGTTAATAAAGTGACAACAAATATTTATTAAATCTATAAAATAACAAATACATATTAATTATTACTCAAATTATTATTTCAGTCATTCTTAGTGTATCAAGTATCTATATGCAAAGGAAAGCCAAAAACTATGGTTTTTATTATTAAATGAAGATATAGCCTAAAGGTGCTTTGCGGGCTTTACGGCATAACCAGGTTTCATTCGTCTGTGCCCCTGGGCAGTTGCCCCCTTCCCTCCTGTTGGCAGGCCTGGACATGTCAAACTAGTTCTGGCACTTTCTTTTTTTAATTTCTAGGTATTTACTTGTTATTGATTTTGTAGAAAAGTTTCTTGGTTAATTTATCTTTGTTTGGCCATTTATTTATTTTGTTTTATAAGAAATAACAGTATTTTTGCATTGTAAATCTTTTGAATTAATAAAACAAAATTGCAGATGAAATACATTATTTTCTATTTTAAACTACAAAGCCTAAAAATAATTGCTCTCAAATGCATTCTTCATAAATGTATATTTGACAGCCCTTAGAAATTGATACGTAATTTATTACAAACAATTTGGTAGCCTACTTATATTATTCACTACATTTAAAAAGTCAATAATATATTTAAGCTAACTGCTTAAAAATCAGCTGTTGTCATAGTTTTAAAGTTAGTGCACCTTTTCTTTACTTTAAACGTTGGTAGGAATAATAACTGCAAACTTAAATATTTAGTGAGACACATAGTTAAGCCTTGTTATACCTGTTTAAAAGTATGATGCTAACATGCTTCAATAGCAATGAAAATACATATACTGTCTACAGAAAATGTAATTTTTTTTACTTAAACACTATGATGACTAAAGATATATTTTGGATACAGTCATGCAGAGCAGAGTGAATGCACTTTGCATTATTGTATATTGATTTAAACTTTGTGTTCTTTACAGGATGTCTACCTCTGTTAGTTCAACTATTACATGGCAGTGAGAAGAATACCAGCTCTGATGAACAAGACACTAATATAATCAGACAAAGGATACATAAAACTCGGAAACAAGCTACTCAGGTTTTGCACAACATTGTTCATTCTCACCCTGATGACAAAAGAGGTCGCCGAGAAGCAAGAGTCCTCCGTTTGCTAGAGCAAATCAGAGAGTACTGTGATAATCTAAGAGATGTTGAAGTAAACGTTGTCAACCATAGCACTTCTGGTATGCATTTTGTGTAGTAGGACTTAAATTTTTTTACTAAACTTTTATTTTGTCAATGTTAAAAACATACAATTATTATTATTATTTTTTAACTCTACCATTATGGACTGGGTGGATCCCACCCATCTTGTAACCACAAAAGTATCCATGAGAGTAATTATCCTATGATTTTGGATAATGTACATGTATCTTTAAAACATTTTGTAGTTGTTTATTGGTAAACATTATAAGGCTTTCGTACACAAAATATCAGGTTTTTAAATTAAGTATTAAGATTTTTTAATTAAAGATTTTCTCATGAATTTTGATTTTAAGATTAAAAATACTTTTATGCATCAGAACATTTTAAAATTTCACATGTGAAATCTTTATATTTTATCTGTTATTTTCACTACTGTATTTCTGTATGGGTTGGGTCGATTTGACCGACCTCATAACCACCATAAAAATTAGGAAATAAATATAAATTATGTTTTTTTTGTTCTAGAGTGATTACAAATTATAATATGAAAACACAAATGTTTAGTCTAAATAGCTTAAATTTCATAACATTATACATTTATATATATTTATTATTTTTATTATATTGACCTTTCAGCCGTGCCTGGCTAACATTAATGAGTTACCGTATCCAAGCATATAAAATTCACCTTTACAAAGTGACATGTGTTGGCTATGTTTTAGTAGACTATTATTTTGTAAAACACAGTCACATTTCAGTTATAATACATTATATATGTAAATACATTATTACTGTTTACAAATAAGTTCTTAAGCTTATTTTTCTCCAAACATAGAACAGTAAATAAAGAAGTATAGCAAACAGTTAATTCCTCTAGTTACAAACTTTGTACTTGTTGACTGCTTGCCATAGGTTGCTAAGCCTTATCAAATTTTGCACGTGGAGGATGTGAAACAAAATAACTTTTTTTAGGTTTATAAATACATTTTAAAATAATCATAAATTGCTGTATCAATAGTACAGAATTCTGTATTTGAGTCTAAAACAATAAGAAATTTTGAGCTCACTAAAGTCTTACCTTACCACTTGGAATCTAGCATCAAAAGAATGAGTTTGCTGCCCGAATACCTCAAAGAGGCTGAGAAAGCCACTAGGGGGACATTCTGAGCTTTTGATTGGTTATTGACATGTCATAGACAGAAGTAGGTTTATGTAAGCAAGTCTTTCCAAAAATGGACAGACGTGGGTGGGGACAATGTGTTTGATTCAGTAAATGTAGCAATATCTCAGCAAGTAGAAAAGATAGGAGGATCTTGTTTTATATTCTAGCTCATTAATATCAGCAAATTGAGTTCCTAATTCATAAGAAACTATAGACTTTTTATTTGGACATCACAAACATCTAATTTGAACCAATGCTGCATTCAACATACCCATGTGACACGCATAATTCGATATTTAGGTGTTTTTTTTAATATTTACTTTTAAATTAAGAAATTAACTAATGTTATGATACTAAAATTTGAATTATAATTTACAATGTGATACCAAACTTATTTACATACATTCGCAAAATAGTAATTCAATAAAATTGTGAATGTGAGTTTACAAACGTGATGACATGGCCTTTGACTAGTGACCATAGGAAGGCCTGTAGAGATAGGGTTAATTAATGCTTTGTATATGTGAATGTATCTTTAATGTTGGTTTTCATTAAATTTATTCCAACTTTTAGGAATGTTTTTGACCCCTGGGTTAAAGTGGCTGCACCCCTTCAAGTTCTCATGATCCGCAGTTGTCATGTAGACAACTTTCTCTTGCAAACTACTAATTTCTATTAATTACTCTGTATTTCCTATAGAGATAATGAAAGTTATTAGGTTAATCCAATTATATTTTATTTGTTTTGCTTGCAAGTTTAAATACCTCCTAAAATTGTTCTTGTTTTGTAGAGAATATAAACAAAATTTCCTGAGCACATGCACTGTTACAACTGGGCTTTTCAAGAGCAAGAAATTACTCAAGGTACAGTGTTTAAGATGTTGGTAAGGTGTGTGTGTATGTGTTTGCTGCAGAAGCAATGAGAAAAACTTTGTTACATTAATTGTACTTTATTCTTTAGAGGCTTCAAAGCAACATCCTGGACCAGCTATTGCTGCCCTGATGAAACTGTCTTTTGATGAAGAGCACAGATATGCTATGTGCCAGCTAGGTAATGTTGTGGTTAAGAAAGTAGTTTTGTTTTCTTCAAAACGTTTTGAGGTTGAATTGTCTAAAATGAAAAAATTAAAAAAAAAGCATCAATGTCTAATTAAGACAAAAAAAAATATTTTTTTTACTCTAATCTTACATAGTTGTTGTAATGAATAAAAACCCTACAACCTGAGTGCTCGGGTTATAGGGTTTTTATTCATTTCTATCAAGACTTCTTGAACCGACGTGTTTTTCTGATATCATGAACTTACATAGTTGTTGACACTTTATATTTAGCCTAGCATCTCTGGGCCTGTGTGTGTTTACAGTTTTATTTCTAAAACTGGTGAGGTTGTACTTGGTTTGATGGTAAAGATCGCTGACTGTAAGCTGGTGGATTAGTTTATGCTTGTGGTATGTTGCAGGTGAATATCACAGAACAAACTTAAAAAGGTCAAAGCCATAGAGGATAATGTAACTTATCCTTCAATTTAAGCCAATATGTTTAATATTTTAGGTGGTATACATTATAACCCTCCCTGTGGCTCAGTGGTCAGTCTGAAGGTTTGTAACACTAAAACTTGTGTTTCGATACTTATGGTGGGCACAGCACAAATAGCCCATGATCTAATTTTGTGCTTAAAAACAAGCAAACAAAACACACACACACTTGTATCTGTCGCCGACACTCTTACACTACAATGTTGTATTACACACACACACTTGTATCTTGTTACCGACACTCTTACACTACAATGTTGTATTATATACACTTGTATCTTGTTGCCGACACTCTTACACTACAATGTTGTATTATACACACACACTTGTATCTGTCGCTGACACTACAATGTCGTATTACATACACTTGTATCTTGTTACCGACACTCTTACACTACAATGTTGTATTACATACACTTGTATCTTGTTGCCGACACTCTTACACTACAATGTTGTATTACATACACTTGTATCTTGTTGCCGACACTCTTACACTACAATGTTGT